ATCACCCCAGGATTCTCCAGAGCCTCCTGCCTTGTGATTCTGGCAGATTCCGTTGGTTGGGACATTCTATATTTGGGCATGTGTGTCACATGCCAGTGACACACATGCCCAAATATAGGCACTGCACTGTCACTTGGATATCCATACCCATCTGAGACCATCTGTATATGTATTTGGTCTCTCTCTATCTCTCTCATATTCTCTCATTCTCTTCCCCTGCAAGCCCAGTCCTAATGCATCATTGTCTTATCTATACTGGCTCTACCTCCATCATACAGCAGGTCTTCATTAGCATTTTCTTCTGATAAAATCTACTGGGGCCACCCTTGTCTTCAGAAGACTGGAGGTCTAAGCTAGTTGGCCCAATGTCAAGTGCTCAGAAACCTGTAGGGGGACATGCTATGGCACTGAATGAAGTTGTTGATAGAATATGAATATACTTGTAAGAGAGAGGTGAACCAAGTAGGTCAGCAAAATAGAGCAAAATAGGCAGAGCAAAAGAGGAAGAAAGAGGAAGGTTAAAAAAAAAAAAAAAAAAAAAAAGAGAAGCCACAGGCCATTTTCACCTTTTACACAGTTATCTCCAGTGCTCTTTGGACAGAACATGAGGGTCCCCAATTAATCTTTCCTAGATACCTTTGACATCCTATTTTCTTTCCCAATTAGAGCTATGCCTATCTTCCTCTAGCCTTTGTCAGTGTCCATATTAGGCCTTTAGCTCAAAGGTCCAAATCACACTTTCACAGTAGCCTTGGAAAGACACATAAGTTAGCTTTTTGTCTCCCGTCTTACAGCAGTCTAGGCATCTTCTAAGAAATCCTGATCTTCTCTGTCATTCTGGACTAAAATTGCCAAAAAGGAAGAGTTGCCACATGCCATGGATCCAATAATGTTGACTTCAGAAAAGGAAAGCTGAACTTGGCTACTATCGTAAGGGCTGCCTTTGTTTTCTTCTCATTTAGGAAGTTGGGAAGCCATCACATGCTTTTGAATGCATTTTAATGAATGTTTATAAGGTCATGGGGATCACATTGGTAGCTTTGTGTGCCTGATTATGAAATGGGACTCTGCAGACCTTTCTGCAAGGTGAGAAAATAATTCAAGTCTACAAGACACCAAGGCACTATCACTCCCTCTTGCTCCGTCACCACCTGAAGATCTGAGAGGGCTCTGCTTGGAGTAATGACACCTAGGCCCTAGTGTTCTTTCTTAACTGACCATGGAACTGAAAGCAAATCATAACCCCTTCTGTCATCTGCCAAGGACAAGGCTGAGATACACACCTGAACATCCCTGCCTATGCCTAACTCTTTCTTCATTGTCTCGGGGAGAACAGGATCAAGTGCAGTAGGTGGCCTGAAGTAGGAGCTGGCTGGAAGCCAGGCCTCAGGACTGCTGTGCCCAAGATTGTAAAGTGGAAAGAGCCTGTTGTGAAGCTGGCCGTCTTGTTTAGAATGATCTGAAAGCTTAGTAGGGGACTTTAAAAAGGAGTATCACTCCAGAGTGATAAGCTTGCTCTTCTCCAAGGCAAGTACTGAGATTTCTCCAGAAATGCCCAGCTTGGACAGGCAGAGCCTCAGCAGTAGCACCAGCCCAGGTGAGCCAATGGTCATGGCAGCATGATGTTGAGCATGGAGAATGGGCAGAGAGCTTCTCGCAATTGAAACGAATAACACATGATGTGACTGTGAGTGCAGAAACACTAAAGCAAGCCTTTCTGAATAGGAGCAGCATGAGCTGGGTGACAGTTCTGCAGGCCTCACTAGTGCACAGGCGAAGCAGATGCTATCACAGCAGCATGGTGCACTCCTGCAGGACCCAGTTAACTTCCCTTGTGTTGGGTACTCTTCTCACCTATCAGGTCAAGTGTTTGGGGAAACTTTCACGAATTCTCTTGAAATCCAAAGCATGGAGCTGCGAGATAGTGGCTTGTTGAAGGCCATCAAGAAAGGATGGTGTAAGAAGAGGCTCGGGACTGTGGTTCTGCTGAAACAGTGGCGTCCATGGGCATGCCCACCTTACGCTTGGAGACAGGGGAACTTGCCCTTGCTTGGTAGGCATCCTGAAATGTCCAGTGTGGCTGCCTAGCAACACAACTGGCCTAGCAAAGGAGCACCTGCTCCCCCCACCATGGGCCATCCCCTGAGCTCCCTGAGGCAGCATCCTAGGATGTGTTTTCTTGTTGAAGGCTGGTCAGTTTCTAGAATTGGAACTGAGGGAGCATCATTTGCAAGGATGTGGTTGCTTTGTGCCTGCAGCCAAGCTCTCATTTAGGAAGGGTGCAGCAGCCTATCATTTGCCAGTGTTGCTTAATGTTACCTGCAGTAGCAAATGGTCATGCTCTGCATTTCCCACCATCTGCCACCTTAGGCTCAGCCAGGTCATGACAGACCAATTCAGTGCAAGTGTCAGAGGCCCACAGAAACTGCCAGCAAAGTCCAAAGGCTTTTTACCTATAGCTCCTACCCTCCCCTCCTGTCTCCCTCTTCACCCTACCTTGTTGTTCATGACATCATGAACAACAACCAGACCCAACCATTGGCAAACCAAATTGCCTGCAAAAAATCCTAATGTAAAACCCACACTCAGTCAATCCTGGTCGAAATACAGTTTTATTTGTAAGACATTTCTTTGTGTTGTTTGTTACTGTAGCAGAGAATATCGAATTTCAGTTTGGGACCCAGGAACTTATTTGTGGGCTGCTCTGTAATTGATTGCATAGATGGTTAAGCTCCCTGCTTGCTGAGTCACTTGTGTCCATTTGGCCATTGATTCATTCAGTTACTATTTACTGAATGCTTGCTGGAGCCAAATACTGAGTGACTTGTTCCCAGGCCAACTGGGGTGGAGGGGAGGACCACCATGTCTTCTGTGTCCCTTCAAACTCCTTGATATTGAAATGAGCACAGAAGACTAGTAAAGGCTTGTATGATGCCCCTTCTATCTCTCTATCCCATTCCTGTTTGATCTGGCGTATTCATGCCTCAGATAAGTTAGGTGGCAAAGCTGCCTCTCAAAGTATCCTTGCTCAAATTCTGAGGCATATACAAAAAGAAGACAAAGAAATATGCAACTTCACCTGGATAGATAAAAGGCAGTGTATTGGGACACAGCTGAGTGGTCATGGCAGGGGCCTGCCCCTGGTTTGGACTTTATCACCCCATGACTGAGTACCTCTGGGCAAGCCCTACCCTCTACCTGGATCCCAGGGTCTCTGTCATTAATAGAAGGGCACTAGATCTCCAGGATCCTTCCAGATTTGCTTTTGAGATACCAGGTAGCAGTTAGTGAAGCTGTACCAGGTGCCACACAATCTGCCTCATTTCCCTTAATGGCCAGAGCAGCAGCATAGAAAAGCTAGAATTCCACTCATTCTATCAGTGAAAAAGCTGGGTTCAGAGAAGTGGCAAGACCAGGACGTAGCTGCATCTGCCTTAGGCCAAGGCCCCTCACCAGGCTCCTTCCACTTGTGCTGTAGGCTAAGGTTTTTCAACCTGGCTGTCTAGTTAGAAGCAGCCGTGAAGATGTGTGTAAGTTGCTGAATTCTCAATCTCCCCCTTATAGAGACTAAGGCAACTGATTTGTGGCAGGAGGACCTGGCTGTCTGGATATTTCTAGGTGATTCTGATGTGAAGCAAACACTAAGACATGGATTAGATGGCAGGGTTGGGGGTCTACCTTGATGCTCCCTGGGGTGCGGGAGTCATTTTGACCCCTGTCATGCTGGCAACTGACCCTTGCATACCTTGAATCGTCATTGAGCTACAAGCTCATCAAATCAGAAGAGTGAAACCTGAAGAGACACCACAGGAGCAGTGGTGTGTGTCCTAGTAAGACTCCCAGAGTTAAAAAAAGAAAAAAAAAAAAAGGCCCCCTCTGCCAAAAAGCACTTCAGGAGAATTACTTCTGTTTGCCTGTCACCATTCAGGGGAGTTCCAAGTCCTCTTTTCCTTATTGTGATCATCCTCCTTATTGTGACTCAGCCTCCTGTGCCCTAGCCCCTTTCCTCCTCACCTGCTGACACACAGGTCATGATCATCAACGTAACAGCCATGCGTGAATCTGTATGAGGCTGTGGGAGAGTAGGAAACTCACATCGCTATTGGCATGCTTTGTTCCTGATGGCTGAGCTTTCGTGAACGATGGGCAGCCTTCCCAAGGTGCAGATCCCACATTGGGCCTTCTCCTGTTGTTTGGTATCTCCTCGACCTGAGGATGCATCTGTAGAGAGGAATTTCTTATTTAGGTGACTTTATACTGTTTTTTGGCATTACAAACTCTTCTCTTAAAAACAAACAAGAAACACAGAAATGTAGAGGATAGAAAGTTAATTTTCAGTCATCCCAAGCAACTGCTCCAAATGGTTCAGTATATGTTCTTCCAAGTTATTTCTGTATGTAGACAAGTAGTGTGTGTGTGTGTGTGCATGTGTAAATCTAAATAGAACCATGTCTGTGATGCCTACAATGACTGTTGTGAAATGTGTTTCCCTAAATAATATGTCTTAGACAGCTGTCCAGGAGAATACACCCAGAGCAACGTCAGTCCTCTAAAGACTCTGATTCTGTTTTAGTGCTGCAGTTTGGTGCATATAACCAAGTGAGACAGCCTAAATGTTCAATGTCTATGTTATGAATTTCCTTCTTCAACAATTGGGGTATCTGTAGACAGATGGGATTGGAGAATATTTAGCTTGCACTCAAATGCTTTTAATGGTGTCTGTGTAGTTGGGTTGAACTCTGGTTTCAGTAAGGAAGGAACACTTTTACTTGACATTCTGTCCTATTTACTCTACAGACAGCATGATGCCTTACTAGAAATGAAATGAGATAGCTTAAATGCAATGCACCAACAAAGAAACAACATTATGGTTCTCCCAAATAAGCCATCTTATGGCTTTGGCAACTGTAAGTCTTTAAACTAGGAGGTCCATTTTATCTTGTAGATATCCTATTCACTCACTGTATAAAAATTCCTCTTTCTCTCTCCTTCTTCTTCAGTCACAGGGAACTATTAAGAGGAGGCAAGAAGAACACTTCCTGTTTCCAGGCATGGCTGATGGAGGTTACCCTAATAAAATTAAGAGGCCCTGTCTTGAGGACGTCACCCTTCCTGTGGGCCATCCCAGCACCTCCTGTGCAGAGCTGCAGGTGCCTCCATTATCAATGAACCCTAGTCCTGTCACCATGGGAGGAGCTGGCCCATCTTTACTACTTGACAATGACCCCATGAGTGGCAGTGTTCTGGATGCCTCATTTGCCATGCCACCAACTACAGAGATGGCGCTGAAAGGGCCCACTGTTCCAAACTATGAGAAAACCAACAGTATGCCAGGTGTAGACCAGGAATTGCAAGATCTGCTGGAGGAACTAACAAAAATTCAGGAACCTTCTCCAAGTGAGCTAGACCTTGAGAAGATACTGGGGAGCAAGCCAGAAGAGCCACTTGTCTTACAGAATCTGCAGGTCAACCTGGGTACCACTGCCAAGCCTACAGTCCACCACATGGCACACTTGGAGAGCCTAGGTTCCAGCAAGGACTTTGCTTCTAGCTGCAGCCAAGTCCCTAGCGCCTCGCTCCCCATGCCGCTCTCCTCCACAGAGCTCAGCTATTCGATTCCTTCTACCAGTAAGCACATGATCTCACCCAGTTCCTCGACAGCAGAGGCCAAGAACCAGGTCCAGGCCATGCTCCCTGTCACTCTGTCACCCCTGCAGGCTCCCCAGTGGCATCATGCCCACCAGCTGAAGGCGCTAGCAGCCAGCAAGCAGGGATCTGCTACCAAGCACCAAGGGCTGCCGCCTACATGGTCAGGCCTGCCTCCCCCAGGCCTTTCCCCACCTTATCGCCCAGTGCCGTCTCCACACCCACCCCCACCTCCACCCCGGCGTACATTCAGCCCTCAGAGCCTCACGGTGTCCTGCATGGCACCCAACAGCTTACGAGGCAGCAGCCTGCAGGGCTCTCCCAATGCCTTACTCTCCAGCATGGTGCCCAGCAGCAGTGCCACCCTGGGGCGTGCCGTGCCCTACACAGCCGAGAAGCTCCCCAGTCCAGCTCTCAGCCAGCAGCAGCAGTTCACCCCACAGAGCTCCATTCTTGCCAACCTTGTGAGGTCAACCATCAAAAGCCCTCAGGGACACCTCATGTCTGCTCTGCCCACCAGCACCCTAGGGCCATCCCCACCGTATCGCTCAGAGAAGCTGGCCAGCCCTGGCTTGCCGCAACAGTCCTTCACCTCACAGTGCTCCCGGATCCAGAACCTGACGCCCACCAGCCATCTGCCAAGTGCACAGCAGCCAGCCAACCCCATTTTCAAGCCAATGACCAGCAGCTCGTCCAAAACCCTGAACATGGGTGTGCAGCAAGGGTTGGTCAACGCCAACCCAGGAGCCCCTGAGCCTTTTACTTTTGCCAACACCAAGCCCTTGTCCCATTTTGTCTCAGAGCCAGCCCCTCAGAAGATACCACCCATGCCAGCCACCTGCAGGCAGCCTTCCTTGCTTCACTACCTGCAGCAGCCAACACAAGCACAGGCCTCTTCTGTCACTGCCTGCTCCAGCAGCACTGTCACCTTTCAGCAGCAACCGCAGCCACAGCTGCAGCCACAGCCACAGCCACAGCCGCAGCCAAAGCTGCAGTCGCGGCCACAGCCTGACCAGTCTTCATTCCTGCTGCAACAGGTGATGCAGCAGACGCGGCGCTTTCAGCGACCAGTAGCTTCAGACCCTGCGCCTGCTCTGCCCAGACAGGTAAGACAACTTCATGCAGGTTTCGAATGGAGAACCCATATGTATGCTGCTGACATGTGGCTTTGGAGGGTAAATCCAGTTCTACTGTTCTCTGAGATTACACTTGACTCTGCCTGTTCAGGTCATCAGATTGTCCTGGGCAGAAAGCTGCAGCCATGAGCTGTTCCCAGGGGATCCATCGGGGTTGGGGGCAACTACAAGATGCATGGCACTCTCATCCTGTTGTGGGACCAAAGTAGCAGGACTAGCAGAGGCTTCTGAGAACACAAGATTACAGTGAAACACTCAAATCTTGTGTCTGTTGGCAGAAGGCTGCACAATAGGCCTTCTAGAGATGGGCACTTGCACACAACCACTTAGCATGCCACTCATCTCTGCACTGCCTTTCCCCAAAGGGAAAAGAGGGGTACTCGTCAGATTGTTGCTTTTAGCTCCACCTGACACACCCAGACTGTGATGCTCTGAGAGTTGCGATGACTTGCCCAGTCACAAAGTCAGCCAGAGGCCAACCAGGGACCTCAGACCAGGAGGTCTCAATCCAGACCTTACACTCTTCTCAGTGTGCCTTCTGTTTCTTTGTGTCTTGTGGCCTTTTCATTACTCAACACAGCTGATTATCTCAGTAGTGTCTGGGACCACTCCCACCATTCACTGTTCTGGCCCCTGCTTGTATTAGCTACCTGTAGCTGCATAACAAATGCCACCCCCTCCCCAATAGCTTCAGTCCGAGTATGCGATCTCAAAGCTTCTGTGAGTTTAGAGTCCTCACATAGCACAGCTGGCTCTTCTGGCTCAGAATCTCTCTTAAGGCTGCAGTGGTTGGCAGACTCCATGGTCATTGCCAAGTTTACCCACAGGACTGCTGGCAGGAGGCAGTTCCTTTCAGATGGCTGGATGGAGGCACCAGTTCCTCATGCAATGTTGCTCATGTGGTCTCCTCATGGAGCGTCTCAGAAGGAATCAGCTGGTGCCATGCAAATGAGCAAGAGATGGTGTACCACCAAGACATGGCTGGGGTGAAGGGAGGGCAAATAAGAAATGACAGGCTTCAATGCCTAGTTCGCTAAGCAACATGCTGCTGCTTTTGCAGTGTTGTGTTCCTTAGATGACAGCCTAAGGGAGGTCCCTGAAGGTGTGGGTACAAGGAGGCAGAACTCCATGGGCACCATATCACATATTTGCCTGCACAGAACACTGGAGTTATGTAGCTCTTTTCCATTGTTCTCAGCTCTGCCCAAGTTCAAGGCCTCTTGATTCTTTGGAGTAAGCCAGTTGGCTATTAGCTGGTTTCCCTCAACCAGCCACCCAGCAATCTATAACTTGCCTTGCTGTGGCAGTGACCCAATACCATTGCTGACAAGCATAGAAGTCTTCATGAGCTTGACCCCTGCATATGCTGTGTCCTTTGAGCCCAGTCTTGCATTTCATGTCTGTAACCTTGAAGTGCTTACCGTACATGGCCCTCTGTGTGTGGCTTGACTTTTATTCCTGCCACTGCTTATGCCTGGTGTTGTCTCCCTTCTTTCTCTCTCCTATGTGACTCAGAACTGCTTCAGGCTGAGGCTCTCTCCTCCAAGGAGCTTTCCCCTGACCATCCTGTGGCCTTTTACTTCTGGATGCTGTGCCTTTCTCTCTCCTGCTGTGTGGTCAAGTGAAGTGCTTGGCCCAGCACCTGGTCCCCAAGGGAAGCACCTGTCTTTACCAAGCTCTTCTTCCAGAGCCCTACAAGAGTATGACATGGCAGTCCCCAGGGGACAGAAGACTTGTCTTTTCCATCCAGGTGTCGGGGAAGCTTAGCAGACAGCAGGCTTGACACTGGGGGATTGGTCATTTGATGGATGTGGACAGCAAACAGCTCCAGGTGATCATGTCAGGCAGGGACGGGGATGTGTTATCATGCTAGGATGAGTGGCATGGAGACAAACAAAGCAGGCCAGATAGGGCTGGCCACCTGGGAATGTGGTGCCCTGTCTGAAGTTCAAGATCAATGTGGTTTGATTTTATTGTAGGGCTGTTGCCACCTGTTTACATGGAATTCTGCAGCTAGCTCGGTGGAGCAGCAGCCTCAACACTGGGACGCGTTGACTAGCAGGCGGGATCCTGAGCCTGGAGACATGTCACCACCTAGCACCGTGAGCCTTTTTTGTGTTGTTTTGTCTGTGCCTGGGGCCATGCCAAGTCTCACTGTGTTGCACCAGAAGGAGTGTTCTTGGTGATTGGTAACGATAAGGGCTATGAAAATCACACCTAGCCAGATACTGAGTAGGCAGAGTAGGTGGGCAGGAAGGGCAGGAAGGGGACTGGGCTAGATAAAGTGCTCAGGAGAAAGAGCAAGGCCAGTAGCACGATGAGGGCCTTCGGGACCCCCGCCACTGCCATCAAGCTCTGCCTTTCCCACTAGTGCTAGCATGGACCCAGGGAACTTAGCACTTCAACTGCCTTGTCACGGTATCCTGCTCAGGAGTAGGAACCATTATCATCCCCTTTAAAGTCAAAGAGAAAGGCACAGAGAAGTCACCAGAATTGCCCATAATTACACAGCATGTCAGGTCCAGAACAGGGACCCAGTGATCATGCTCACACTTCCCTGCATGGTGTACTGCCTCCAGAACATTCTCCTTCCTTAAACTCTGTATTTCCTTGTCTACACTATGCAAGTGGGGACAAATTGAGGCGTAACTGTGTAAACACATCTAAAGGGTTTTGCGCAGGGCCTGGCACACAGTGTTCGCTCCCATGATGACTGCAGCCGCTGATCCTGAGACCTAGTTCTGTCTTCTGGGGCCCAAGGGATGTGTCTGCTTAAAACCACGAGCTGTGTCAAGACAGGGCATGAGCAGTGCTTTCACCACACCCCTTGTCTGCCATGAAAGCAACAGGAGTTTGGGGTAGGGGTGAAGCTGTGCTCTCTGTGGGCTCCTACTAGACAGCCCCCAGCTTGCTGGTGAAGGGGGAAGGGCCACAGTCACCTTGCAGACTGGGATTGGCAGCTCTTGCAACACCATTTCCCTAGCACTCTGTTCTCTACGTAGCTGGGGAGGCCGCTCAGCTGGGCACACAGACAGCCCTGTGCTGCTTCTAATAGGCTTTCCACATGAGCTTTAAGGCCCAAGAACCCAGCCCTGGGGTGAGAAAACAAGATGGAAAAATGTGAGTCTCTGACGCCAGAGGAGGTCCTACTGTGGCCACCCCAAGGTTGCGGAGGCACAAGCAGAGCCTCTGACAACACAAGTGGGCTGTCACATGGCAGTGGCTGTGAATGATTATGGTTGCCATGGAAACCCTGGAATCTGGATCTTAGTTTGATAAAGGAATCATCTCTGAATGTAAAATGAGACACAAACTCTTATGTAAGCAGAAATGCCCAATGCAGCTGTCTACACGAGCTTGTGGCTGTTTGTAGACCAGGATTTCTCAACTTGCAGGGCTTCACTTTCCCAGATGTGTTCATAGTTATATCTCACTGGAACACTTGCCTCCTCTAAAGGTAAAAGATAAATGCCGCAGGCTTCAGGGCAGCAGTTCGTTATGGTGGGTTAGGCAAGGGTTCCACAGGCAGATACAACCAAGGGTTAATTCTGCTTGTGGAAACTGAATGAGCTGGTGCCATGAATAAAGTTGGTCAACTGCTTTGATCCAAAAACCAGGAAGTTCCAGTCTCTAGCACATAAAGCATTGGGGGACAAAGGAAATGGTCAAGAACCTGAAGTTTTCCAGAACAGTGCCTGGCACACTGTGCATGCACATCCCCAGCCAGAGCGATTCCAACTTCAGAACATCTGAGACTTGAAAAAGTTAATCTGGCTCAAATACCAAATATCACACAAGCCTGCAGTGGAATCTGGGGCAGTATTCTGTTATTTTTCCAGCTAAATGTGAATATTTCTCAAAGTCCAGGTCAAATTTTACCCCCCACTAAAATTTGGCAAGCCATTTATACAAATAAGCTGTCAGAGCTTCTTGACCTCGAACTTACAAATAAGTACAAGGGGATCTGAGGTTATTAAAGGATGGGATCTTTATCTCTTTTTGGTGTCATGGCATTCAATCCTGGTGTATTAGATTTTAATGACTCCAAACTGTCTCACCAAATTCTGCACCTAGGCTGCTGACATACCTTATTTTTGATGGAAGTGAGACAAAATGTGTTTTGTTGCCACAGATCCAATGCTCCTTCTTAGCCTGAAGACCACAGGGACCACCCCAGTAGGGTCAGGACTTACCTCAATTGCACCACCAGCCACTGTAGAATGAAACTAGCATTTACTAGAGATGAGAGGTGTGCTGTGGAAAAGTGGGGCTCACAAGATGCAGCACATCGCACCACTATCCTGGTGTGCTCACTGTGCATGCCTTGGAGCCCCACTCAAAGCAAGGACATGGATGCTGGCCAGTTGGAACTGGAACAAAAATGCCTGTAATCTGATCCATGAGGCAGGCAATGAGCACAGGACCGGGAAAGGGGCAGCTGCAGAGAAATAGACCAAGAGGCACATGATGTTGTTTTGACAAATTTTGAGAGATGAGAGAAAGGAGACTCCATCCTGCTTTGTCAAAAGGCTGCACTAAGCTATTGGAAATGCTGTAGTTCATACCTTCAACACAAAGTCACCCACCTCCTTAGCTTAGGCAGTGAGTCTGCCATCTTCCCTTCCCAGAGGATTCCAAGAAGCACCATCTGACGTGCGGTCTGGGGAAACCCTCCTGTATACCTCCCCTGTGCTCCTTTCTCCTCCTCCTCAGCAACTTGTGTCCTCTGAAGTACAGCCTTCCCAGCATCAGGGCCTGAATGGAGAAGTCACAGGACAGGGATGCTGGGGCCTTGTCAAAGGCAAGCCCTAAAGTTGGGCTCAAGCCCAAGTTCAGAGATCCAAGTGATTCAAAGCTTGGGTCTGCCACTTTTTTATCCTCACCAAACCTCAGTCCTCCAAATCTGTAAAGATGCTAGTACACAGGTCCCACGAGGGTTCTGTGATAATTAAAGAACTGAAGTAAGCACATTTGGCACACAATTATAGCCTGTTCATGTTAATTCATGAAAAGTCTAAAGACTTGCAATAACAATAACCTAATAGAATCAGTTTTGATTGCATGATGATTTTTCTTTGACTCCCGGGAAAGTGCAGCAGATCCAGAGAAGAAGAGCAAGAGGCTACTCAAGTGGTGTGTGCTCATGGCAGTGGTGTCAGGGAGAACATTTGCCAGGTGCCCAAAGGGGTGTGTGATCTCAAAAGAGAGGAGAATAGCTGAGCCAGGCCACAGGTGCCAAAAGTACTCTTGGCTACTTGCGATGGGCCAGTGATGGCTTCTCTTCCCTCCGAGTCCAGATGGCTTAGGTGCAAGGAGTCATGTGAGTGCTGACTAACGAAGGTGACCCGAGGACATTAAGTGAGCAGAAGAAGCTAGGAGTGGCCAGGTCCCACGTGCAGTCAGCTTGGTTCTGTACACAGTGTTATAGCAGGCTGGGAGCCACCACCATTTCAAGATTCAGGTGTGCAGCCTCCCACTGACAGGCAATGACAGTGACTAGAACAGACAATGCATGCATGAGTGACAGAGTGAGGGACAGACTGGGCAATGTGTTTAGCATGAAGGCCACCAGGAGCACTGGCCTGGTTTGGCCATAGCACTGGGGGGCTTGGCATTGCACATCTACTTTCATTTAGTAAGCACATGGGTACCATAGTGTGACAAGCACCCCTCCAGGGGAAGGGCCTCCTGGCTCTTTCTTTTCCCTTACTCTCTTCTCTGACACTCACTCTAACCCCTGGAGCCTCCAAAAGGAAGCTCGACAAATTCCTTTTGGTTTGAACTTGCAAGGCAACCCTTTACTATTGCCCTCTCAATTGCCAAATGCAAATGAAATTCCTTATGTATGAACCACAGGCTCCCCTTGGAAACAAAACTGATCAAACCATGTTAGTGAGGCCAAGAGAAGTCCCTGTGTGATCAAATTGGCACTGGCTCCATTTTTCAACTGTTGAGTTGATGATCCAGAGAGATGGCAAGTGAGCTTTCTCTATTCTCAGAAAGTGATTTTGATCTTGACTCTCCTCCCCACTGTACCCCTGCACCCCAGGAAAAATCAGATGTACTACATGTTGTCAAGGAAAGAGCTGCCACTTTGGACTTGCAAATTCTTCTCTCCTTGTGAGGATCAGGATTGGACACAGGGGAGGGCAGCAGTGCCAGCCATATTCCCAGAGAAATATCTTTACATTTTTTGTCTTACTACTTCTGAGAAGCATCACACGTGTCGTTGCAAAGCTGGAGTTTACTGAAATACAGCAGGGAAGCCCTCTGGCAACGTGCTCGGCTCCCCACCAGTCACCTGACAGCTTACCAGCTGGTTGATGAGACACCAGCAAGAGCCAGTGGGTCACAGCCCAGGGCTTTTCTGGCACGCATCCTCCCCACTGGACACGGGACCATTTCACTGGATAAACCATCTCACTTTGCTTTTAGACAGATTCCGCAGAGGGACCCAGTTGTCCTTTTTTTGTTTTTTGTTTTTTTTTCTAAATTAGGGAGCGAAGCATTATTTTCATTTTGGAACTCTTTGGGGGAGGGGCTTCTCTAGGAGGACCTGTGACGTGACACTAGGTAGCATGCACTTGGAAGCCTTGGGGGCCAAGATCTAAGATTTGAAAACACTTTGGTTTTCACCACTCTGAATTTCCAAGGAGTGCGGCATCATAGGCTGTTGAATTGGAGAAACAGAAGCCAGCATTTTTCAGTTTTGTTTTTGGTCTCTGAATGTCATTAATGATCCTCCACTTCAATGCTATGCTCCTTTTTCAGAAGGTGGAAATTTAAAATGAGCTGCTTTTCAAATGCTAACCTTTTAAATGCTGATTTTATTTTTTTCCTCCTGTCAGCTGTGCTAAAGAATGAGTGAGGTAATGCATTGCAATGCACACAACTTCACACAGTGCCCCCAGAGTACTAAGCTGTCATTCATGCAGCCAACACTGAGACTTACAAAGGTACATAAAGCCTTTCACAACAGATGACTCAGAGACAGAGATCAATCGATGTGATTTGTTCATTGCTTAGCAACTGGCTTTCAGCAAGCCAGAGCAACAACCACTTTCTGAACCCTGCTGTCAATGTTGTGTTGTGTTGCGTTGTG